TCAGATGATAGCGCTGTGGCCTAGGTATTCTCAACGTGATTTCTAGGGCCTATTCTCAGAGACCTTTTAAAACAAGGTGAAGGTGTGTGAGTGATTAATGGCAAAAGTGGAAGTCATCCCCAATCTGGATTTCAGCCCTTTACACTGAAAAACTGCATGTTTCTTGGACTTACTGTTTTTATTTGTTGTGGCTTGTCAGTGCTTCCTAACAGTGTATATGGTGGTAGTCTATGCTTTCACATTGTTAGTGAACTGTGTGTGAAGGAAGGCAGGTTGGGGCAGTTTGAGCCAATCAGATTATTAGTACTTGGTACTTGTACTCTAATAACCCTTATTATAGTTAGGGATGGTCTACAAATAACTTGACAGTTTAGAATCTTTTCACTGAGTATTTTGAATGTGCATTCCTTAGAGTTAGGGAACTTTGGAAATGGTATTGGAGCTTTATCTCTTACAAATCTCAATTAGCAAAATGATTAGGAAAGGTCTTAAAATGTAAACTAGATCAGCAAGTCCTACCTCATGTGAACTTTTGCCTTTGACTAAGGTCTTTCCCATGGTGCAACAGATTTGGGGGTTGTGCTTGATAAACTTCATAAGATGCTTAAACTTTTTCAGCAGAGGTTGGGAGCTGATACTTCTGTGTACTTTATATGTATTTGTATATCCAATTCCTAAAAATAATGCAGGTTATAATTTCATTATAATTCAGAATATTTAGCTTTATAAAGTATTAAAATAATTTTATTAAATAATAGTAAAATGGGGAGGAAGCCATTTCAGTTCTTAAAATTAGAATTTAATTGGTAATGAATCATAATCTCAGTAAGAATTGGGCAAGTTTTGGACATATACTACTGTAGTCATATCTACAGTACTAAAATGAAATTAATAAGCTTATCAAATACATTTTAGAGGGTAGATTCTCAAATTTAAATATTAGCTTCACTTTGGGAGCTCATGAAACTCTTAATGTCTAAACTGAACCCCAGATTAATTAAACAAGCTTTCACCCTAGAAGTATTCCTTGCTTGTCTTTAACAATTGCTGAGGTAAGGTAAGCTGAATTGTTTTTAATATGAGGCAGAGGCAGGTGGATCTCTGAGAGTTCAAGGCCACTGTTTGAGGCCAGCTAGAGCTACATAGTGAGATTTAGTCTCAAAGGGAAAGAAAAGTAGTGGTACCAGTAGGCATCAGGGTTAAGAACTTGACTTAGACTTTGCTGTTTGAAAGTGAGGGGTTGGATGAGCAGCATCGGTGCAGTTTTATTAGAAACTAGAATCCAGTGCTCGACTCTGAGCTAGAATTGGCTTGTACCAGCATCTCCACGTGATGTACATAATGTACTACAAATGCAGCCAATAGGTTTTCCTAGCAGGACTAGGAAATCTGGCTGGATTTTCAGTTTTAAGGTCAAAGAATTAACTAGCTGTACTCAACTATCTGTAAGACCTCTAAATAAAAGCCAGTTTATATATA